TATTTGTGTTCATACGAGATTTTTCTTCAGCGATGATGAAGGTACTTGTGACGAGAGTGATACCTCTGATCATGATTATGATGACAGTGAAGAGTTGATTAGTGATGAAGACTCTTTATCTGAAGAAGAGAGGGACCATACAGATAATCGAGGTATAGTCTTGTTTCTGCCTGATCTAGTTCCTTGTTCAGATGTTGATTCATTGCTCGCGAAAGTTAACAGCATGTCAGTTAATCAGAAACAAAGCGTATCTTTCTTGGACAAGCAGTTGAAGTTGAACACTGCTGAAGAAGGTTAGTTTGGAGCAAGATTCTCTCATTTGTTGTTTAGCTGAATCAATTTGCTCGGTCATCGAAAAGGCTCCCGCCATGCATGAGCTTGTACTTCGAGGAAACACTATTGGTGTTGAAGCTGGTGAGAGAATTGGAAAGGCGCTTCTTAAACATCCTGAGCTTGAAGTGATTTTACTATCGGTGAAGTCGAAGAAGTATATCGACTGTTTCAGAGATGCTTGTGGAGTGACATGTTCACCGGACGTCTGAAGACGGAGATTCCCCCTATTTTGGTAACGTGATTCATCTTGTCTAAGATAATACANTGAAGACGGAGATTCCCCCTATTTTGGTAACGTGATTCATCTTGTCTAAGATAATACAGATTTCAGAAATCTATGTGTTCTGCTATGATGCAGGCTAATTGTAATATTGTTGAATTAGACTTATCAGACAATGCGTTCGGGCCTATCGGAGCAGAAGGTTCGTCACAACCCTCTTTGTTNAGGAAGTTCCAACTGAAAACATTCGTCGCTGGACGAAACAGGCTAGAAGACCCTGGTGCTCGTGCTCTCTCCAAAGCTTTCAAGGTTAGTTCTCATTCTCGATGTTCCTTCAATACTGTTTCAGAAAATCGGAACCCTTGAAGAGATTATCATCAACCAGAATGGTATCCGATCAGCCGGAATAGTTGCTATGGCTGAGGCTCTTAATTATAATCCAAATCTTCGAGTCATTAATTTCAACGACAATACATGCACTGATATCGGAGCTAAAGCTGTTGCCGCGGTACTATTTCGAATCGTGATTCTATCGAAAATGGAATTCTAGGCTCTCTGTAACCTCAATGAACTGGAAGTCCTAGATTTAGGCGATTGTCTGTGCAGAAAAGGGGCTGTAGACGTTATCCAAAGAATCACCGAAGGTGATCATCCAAATATAAAAGTCTGTTCGAAAACTAAAAAAAAATGTTTGAAAATATTTTTTCAGTATGTTGATCTCTCGGGTAGTGAATTGGGGTCTAGCGATGCTGAGCTCATTA